TGATGCAGTTTAAGATTTGTTATGGAGGGTTTTAAAATCCTCATCCATTCCTAATGAAGTACAGGCCCATAGTTGGAAGGCACCTTGGAGGTCTTCTAGTCCAACCCCCTGCTTATGCAGCAAACCATAGACCACTTCAGACAAATGGCTCTCCAACATCTTCTTAAAGACTTCCAGTGTTGGGGCATTCACAACTTCTGGAGGCAACTTCTGTTCCACTGATTAATTGTTCTATTAGGAAATTTCTCCTTGGTTCTAAGTTGCTTCTCTCCTTGATTAGTTTCCACCCATTGCTTCTTGTCCTGCCTTGAGGTGCCTTGGAGAATAGTTTGACTCCCTCTTCTTTGTGGCAGCTCCTGAGATATATATGTGCGCCACCCCCTGCTCTGTTTTCACTGGCAGAGGGTTGTAGGAGGCTGTTGCAGCCGAAAACCGAGTTCAGGAGCCTGTTTTCGCTGGCAGAGCACTTGGACCACTACAGGTGACCCTGAAATGAGTGACATCGAGCTGGCCATGCCCACTCTGATCCCCTGAAGTCAAACATAACCCTAATGTGGCCCTCAATGAAATCGAGTGTGACACCCCTGCTCTAGATCAACCTCCCTGCTCCCTCACCCCCATTTGCCCATGGTTTGCGAATTACAAAATCCAGGCAACTTTTGTCTATTCAGCGGGACAGCGGGTGACATTGCTTTGATGTTGGCTAGGCTGCAACCTCTTAAAAACGATCTTTCTGGCACGGCGCAGAGGTTTCACAGTTCCGATCTGAGGCAGGAGCAACCCATTCATCCTTGCGTTCTCTGTTCCCTCAGGGTTTGGCGGTAGCGGTTCGCAAGTGGATTCGGCCCGCATGAATTTGGCTTCCTCCTTCGTGAACGGTTTTGTGAATGCTGCTTTCGGGCAGGACAAGCTGCTGACGGATGATGGCAACAAGTGGCTCTACAAAAACAAGGACCACGGTGAGCCGGGACAACGACTCACAATCTGGGCTGGGGTGGGGGGTGGGGAAGAGATAATTTTGCTCCAGAGTGGGAACTTTTGCACTCGCACGAGCTGCTCTCTGGCAATGAATTCATTATTGGGTCGAATTTAGAACTCTGCTTCTGTGCTTCCGTGCTTTCTAAGATCCTGGAAACTCACTGGTGTCACTCAGCAAGTGGCACAACCGGGTTTGATGTTGCCTGAACTCAGAAGTCTAGAGCAGTGTTTCTCAACCTTGGCNGATAGATAGATAGATAGATAGATAGATAGATAGATAGATAGATAGATAGATAGATAGATAGATAGATAGATATAAAGGCTGTGTGTGTTCCAGCATAATTCTGGAGCGCCTCGAGCAATTTCAGCCAAACTTGCTACACAGATGACTTACTCTGGAAAAAAACATTATGAGGGTAAGAAACTCCTAACACCCTTTGAGGGTGGTGGTGTTCTGTTACAATAAGCCTGTTGTGCCTTCAAATGGCTTCTACTGTACAGCGCAGTGGAGTTGCCATGGTAACTGTTTCACAGTACTTCACAAGGGGGCTCCCTCTGGTAAGGGGAAAATCCAACATTAGAAATTACATTTGGTCTGGACATTCTCTCCCCCTCCCCTATAAATCCCAGACAACGTTAGGTTATGAGCTAGTATATAATAAAAAACTTTGAAATGGTAAATGTCTTGTGCTGAAGAAATGTGTGGCTTACATTGCAGTCGGAATTAAACACTGGTGTTGCATTGCATTTCTTAGGAATTCTGAGCGTGTATTTAAATATTTGAAATATAGTGCTGATCTGCTTCTGTATCATTTCTTTGCTCTCACCTCTTCTAATAGTAAAGGCTACCTATTTGACATTAAATGCTATCTGGACAACTTAGTGTAAAAAAATGGCATCTCGAGATTTCCAATACCTGTCCCAATTTCTAAATTTCCATTACAGATAAAACAGGATTTGCAATCATGGAGTCTTTTTTGATCTCCGTATGTGAGGTGATCAGTTATTTGATTCTAACCCTTTTTGTGACCGCTCTTTGCAGCAGCGTGCAAAATATTTTGAATTCAAAACAGTTCCTTGGAAGAGCTGTGCTGAGCTCACCTGGAATGTCCTGGCAACAGGACCGAGATACCAGAAAGCATTCTGAATATAAAACAGCGAAGTTGAGCTCAAAATATTTCCAGCAAGGTCAGAGCAACCTGATCTAACTTGAAACAGTTATTTCAATATCATAACATTTCAAATTCAACATCTTTCGCATTTCTAATGAACAGAAATGCTCAGCAGGGCAGCATGAGTGAAAAAGAAAAAGAAATGTTTTTTTTAGTTTTCAGTAAACCTTTTCTTTGATTTGGGCATTCATCCAACACTGCAGGGAACTTGAGATTCCTGTGCTACTGATAGCTCCTCAAAACTCTTTTTTTTTACCCCCAGTTTCTTCCAGTTTCCCCAAATTGCAATGGTTGAAAAGTGGAGGGCAATTACTTGAGAATTGAGTAACAGAAAAATTATACAGTAAACCAACTTCTTGCCAACTGTGGTTTTAAAATGATTTGCTGTGATCCCCTGGGAAGATATAGGCAGCGATAAGAAAGTTGTGTTTTCCTCAAAGTGACGGAATGTGGGATGTTACATCATGGAAAATCAAAGCTTTGAATTGGGGTGACAGTAGGACATGGGAGATAAATTACATGAATTTTCAGTCCCCCCACCCCCATCTAAATGAGGCTGTAGCTTAGTTATTACTTTACCATTGTATGCTTATTCTGCAAGTAAATGTGTTCAATATATTATATTTGAATATCATTAACCTTCATTTTTCTGACACAGTGGCTCAGTGGTTATGATGCTGAGCTTGTGGATCAGAAAGGTCGACAGTTCAGCAGTTTGAATCCTTAGTGCCTTGTAACAGAGTGAGCTCCCGTTACTTGTCCCAGCTTCTGCCAACCAGCAGTTTGAAAGCACGTAGAAAATGCAAGTAGAAAAATAGGAACCTCCTTTGGTGGGAAGTTAAGAGCGTTTGCGCCTTCAGCGTTGAGTCAGGCCGGCCACATGACCACAGAGACGTCTTCGGACATCGCTGGCTCTTCGGTTTTGAAATGGAGATGAGCACCGCCCCTAGAGTCGGGAACGACTAGCACACATGTGCGAGGGAAACCTTTACCTTAACCTTGATTTTAGATTTTTTTTTTGTAACTTAAAAATGTTGTGAACCACACCTAGTTTGGTCATTCTGTGATTCCATATATATTTTAAACATGGATAGTGGATTAATTTACCAATCAGGCGAAGACTTGTTTTATACATTAAAGACATCAAAGGTAACTCTTTCTTTTGCCCCCAGCTGGACATCATGGAGCCCAAGGTGCCAGATGACATTTACAAAACGCATCTAGAAAATAACCGTAAGTGCTGGGCTTTGAAATAGTGGGGCCCTTGTTGACTCAGGGTTCCCTGGAAAATTGAAGGAATATCTTGGTTGGTTGCACCTCTTGTCATCAGTCTAATTCACACCGTTTGGATTCAATTTGAGTATAGAGAGGGGCAGTTCTAACTATATCACGATGCCTCTTCAGATATTATAGCCCAGTTCTATTTGAATTTTCTTTTGCAAACTTATCTATAGCTGGTCACGGTCATTAAGTGTGTCCCTCTCCCCCCCTCCCCCCCAATTCTTGATTCACATTCTGAGGCTCTTCTTTTTGTCACGGAGTAGGAAACTATATAAATTTCCAATTTTGATTGCTGTGGAAGGTATCTGCAGTAGTTTGAACCTGAAAGTTTAGGGTTTTTTAAAATGGAATGGCCATGGAAGGCATTGCAACTTAAGTATATTTCTGTTTTCAGAACAATTACTTTGACAAATTACAGTTATTAACAGGAGAAGACTGTCAGGCAACGAAAAATCAAGACCACGCATTAAGTTCCAGTGAAACTGATTTATTGCTCATGCCTGGACTCACGAATTTAGTCAGCCAACAGCACTGACTTGATGCTATGTAACCGTTAACAGAATTCAAGGGGGTGGGTTGGAGTTGGACCACTTGTGGGAACGTAACAGCTCCAGGCTGATTCCTCTCTTGACTCTTTCCCCCCACCCCCACCCCTTTCCGGCTCTGCCTTGTCTTCTCCAAGGCCATTCCATAGCAATTTTGGGCTCCTGGCTTAGATGGACTTCAAAGGACAAAACGAACCTATGGAGATAGATTTTCAGTATGAACCACAAAGCATAAAACCTCCCAAGAACATTGAACTGAGAGGGACAGTGGGAGCAAAGCACAATTGGAGGGCCTCTTTTAGAGAGGGATGAACAAGTGCTCTGGAAGAAAGGCCCATTCCAAACTGTTTTTAAAGTTAATCCAAGCGCAACACATCACAGAGTCAAGTCCAGAAGTAACATTCCCTACCATTAGAATCTCTTTTAAGGCTTAAGATAGCGCCAACTTTATTTGGGAATCGGGCCACCTTTGGGTTGAAAGGTTCTATGTTTCCACTGGAAAACATTTTTCCGTCGCTGAGCCATTATCTGGGGTGTTGGGAGGCCCCCAAGAATTTGAAAAGTAGGCATACTGTTTCACTCTAGATCAGGGGTGTCACACTCAAGGCCCGGGGGCCAGATCAGGCCTGCAGGGTCCTTAGATTGGGCCCGCAGAGCTACCCTGGAAACAATGAAGTACAGGCCCATAGTTGGAAGGCACCTTGGAGGTCTTCGAGTCCAACCCCTGCCTAGGCAGGAAACCCTATACCATTTCAGACAAATGGCTCTCCAACATCTTCTTAAAGNGGAAAAGGGTGCGTCTTATACTCCGAAAAATAGTTCAGTTGAAATTGTCATATGTGGGACTGATTGGGGTAGATTGTAAGGTATAATTTATATTTACCCAAAATATAATTTTATCATATATATTAAGTTATTGTATTTTGTTCCAATTTCATTTTAAATTGTATTTTATCAAATACCATTTTAAATTGTTTTTATCTGATTTTAGCAATAATTTGGGTCTGGAACTCTGCACTTTGATATGGCCCAAGGGCTAATCAGTAAATTAAACTCTAACTCTAAACTCTTATTTGAAGTGTTCCTTACAATAAAGCAGATGGGAAGATTTAAGCCCCAAGTTCAATAAAGGTACCCCCATCATTTCATGGGCTGAAAAACAAGCTATAAATTTGCCAGGAAACCCCCCCCCCTTCAAATGACCTACTGTATAGGGAGTTTGTTTTGTTTTATTTTAAAATCATATTATTTTCCTTCCGTTGCCGCTGCAGGCATCTAGCAGGCGAAGTCGCCAAGGAGTGGCAGGAAATTGACGAGGCAGACAAGACCCAGAAGGACACACTTCTAACTCTTGTGAAGGAGATTGTGCCGTACAACATGGCCCATAATGCTGAGCACGAGGCCTGTGATTTGCTGATGGAAATTGAGCAGATGGATATGCTGGAGGAATATATTGATGACAATGCCTATGCCAAAGTTTGTCTCTATTTGACCAGGTGAGGGAACTGTACTTTCTTGGGTTCGTGGAGTTTGTGAATTTGTGGAATTCATAAGAGTTGGCAAGGCTGAATTAGGCCATTGAGGGCAATCCCTGGATGAACACACAGATCCAGATTAAAACATTCATGGTCAGTGGCTATCCAAACCGAGTTTCTTTGCATAATTCAATTCAAAATACAGTTCAAATACCAAAGGCTTCCCCCCCACACCCCAAGACTTAATTGGAAATTACAATCCTGTCCCTCAGATCTTTTATTCATTTTCTGCACTCTGAAACAGTGCAGAACAGATCTTAATCTTCTGTGTGATGTCTTTTCAGATTCATGAAGAATGCTATCCGCCTCTCTACCTGCTCAAAACTATATGTTTCCAGTTCCTTTCTTATTCTTCTAAAATCCGAATGAACCTTTTTTTCTCTCTTAGCTTTTGTACCTTTTCTTCTTTAAGTGTGGAGTTCAGAAAAGTACTCAAAGTGAAACTATTTCCTTTAGAAATAATAGAAAAATTATTTATTAGAATAATAAATAATCCCTTCAACACTGTCAAACTATTTAATAAGTCTGCGATACTATTACTATTAATCTTCTCATCGTTCCTATCACCCATCTCCTCCCACTTATGACTGTATGACTAACTTTGTTGCTTGTATCCTTATGATTTACATTGATTGTTTTCTAGTATGATTTGATTGCTTATTTGTAGCCTATGTCTATCTTTAAGTGTTGTACCTTATGATTTGTGACAAATGTATCTTTTATGTACAATGAGAGCATATGCACCAAAGGCAAATTCCTTGTGTGTCCAATCACACTTGGTCAATAAAGAATTATATTCTATAAGAAACTGTCATTTTACTGAGGCAGTCCAATATGACAAAGAATTGCAGGATCTTAAGCGTAGGGCAGTGTTTCCCAATCTTGGCAACCTTAAGACGCGTGGACTTCAACCCCCAGAATTCCCCAGCCAAGCTTGGCTGGGAAATTCTGGGAGTTGAAGTCCATGTGTCTTAAAGGTGCCAAGTTTGGGGATCCCTGATCTAGGATATTCTGAGCCCAAATCCTGATTGATTGTGACAGGTTTGCATTCATTTACACATGCAAAAATTAAAAAAAAATGTATGCTGAAATTCACCTGAATCTGATAAGAAATGTATAACTAGCCATAATTCTAATCCTAAAGAGATAATTCTTTTTATCAACCAGCTCATTTTACAAAATGTTCCCCCCTCCCCCACTTAAAGGAAGCAATTCCTAATTTAGGTAACTTCTATATTTGCTGTTCAGTAGGATTTCTGTCTACTTTAACTCTTCCATGATGAGGTTATGACAAAATTGTGGCTCCCCTATGCCTCAATATGCATATTGCGATTTTTTTCCCCTCTTTCAGATCATCTATATTTTTCATGAGTTGAATGATTTTTCCCCCCCATCGCATATTGAAAACTTTAATTTGACAGCAGCTAAGGTTTAGGGAGCTACCCCAAGGGACTGTGTAACATTTGTGAAAAAAGCAACAGTTGGCGAACAGCCGTAGTACTAATCAAACTTCATTTTCTGCCTCTCCCATTCTTATTTTTCAAGCTGTGTGAGCTATGTTCCTGAGCCGGAGAATTCTGCCCTGCTCCGTTGTGCCCTTAGTATCTTCCGCAAGTTTAATCGCTATCCTGAAGCCTTGCGGTTGGCCCTTATGCTGAATGACATGGAACTGGCAGAGAACATCTTCATTTCCTGCAAAGATGTGTAAGTAGCGCTGGGGTGCTGGGGGACAGATCCACAGGGCTCAGGGTTAGCTGAACGGAGAATGGTTAAGTCTTGAGCAGGGGTCACCAACCTTTCAGACTTCAGGGACCACTAAATTCATAATTTTAAATCCTGCAGACCACTAATATGATCTGCCTAATGTTCGGCTGGGTGGACATGTGGTCACATGTAGTTAGGTGGTCATATGGCTGGGTGGGCATGGTCAACTCAATGTCACTCACGTTGAGGAGCACTTCACTAGCCTATACTCTCCCCTCCCCTCCCAACCACTCCTCGCCTCCCCACCCAGGCTCCTTAGGTCCCCAACAGGAAGCAGTTGTTGGAGCTGAGCAGTCACCATGAGAAAGAGTTGGCAAAAAAACTCAGTTCAAATTGGATCAGACCGAGAAGGAGGTTCAGCAGAAGCACCTCACTGAGGACTACGTGCATAGGCTTTCCAAGCAGAGGGAAGACCTGCGGGAGTGCAAGGCCAGGTACCGGCACCTGGAGGCTCAGCAGGCTTGGATGGTTAGCCAGTTCCAGGCCATGATGCAGTCCCACTGGAACGAGGCCCTCTGGCTCTTCGCCACCAGTGGCCCTTCCCTCCAGCCTTCGCCCAAAGCCCCACACCAGGAGGCTAAAACAGACCCCAAGTTGGAATTTCCTCCCCCCTCCGACCCACACAAAAGGACCCCGAAGGAGGATACTCTCTGCAGCAACACAAGCGTTCATTGCATGTATCCATCCCAGGGGCCGTAGTTTGAG